GTCCCTACGGTTAATCGACCATCAGTTATATGTTGAAAACGTTAAAATTACCATTCAAAAGAAGACATAGTTCATTGTCTTCTACTTTGAGGCTGAACCGGTCGAGATGTTTGAAATTCTAGACTAATGAAGTCATTGTCTTATACCTTTAGATCTGAAACACATTATTGTATAGTTATTTCTTTGCTTTCAGTTATTGTTTTCCTCTATCATATTTCATGTTTTTTCTTTATTTTTCTTTGAAGATAACCAGTTCAGTCTCAAAGTAGAAGACAATGAACAATGTCTTCTTTTGAAGGGTAACTTTGATATTTTCAATAGATAACTGACAATCGATTAACGGATTAGAGACCAACTTGRCACTTTTTGAAAGTTTAAGTATTGCAGTGATATGGTTAAAAGTTCAGGTACTAACTTGACACTACCCCTAAAGTTCAAGATASTAAAGTGGAACTTTTCCTTTTTTTTGTACAAAATAGGATTTAAAACAACATTTGAGGCGTTCATTGAATATGGTTAATTTTGAATGTGGGTGATTTTACATAGACTTCACTTCTTCTATTTTTATTAGAAAATCAAAGTTTTGATGCAATAAAAAAATAGATGAAAATGAATAGGGAAAAACTGAACCTGTATAATGGTCAGGTGGTCGCCAGTGATCTCCCTTCCCTTGTGTTTTGTATTGAAAAAAGATAGAAAATGGCTCAGCAAAACATGTAAAGGATGTTAGAGAGAACACACGGGGAGTACCACCCGTGTGTTTGTCGTTGCCGGAGTTCTCGCCATTAGTTTGGATGGTGGAGTTCAAGGGTCAGGTTACAGAGACGAGGCAAGGTCAAGAGTCGAGAGTAGCGGGAATTTGGAGCTAACGGAACGAGTTAACGTCTGTCCCCTAACACCACACACGCTGAGGGGGGAAATCGCATGGAAGGACACTTGGCACCTTTCGATCGTGTGGGGCGTTTGTGGGTCGCATATTTGAACTCGCCTTTTGTTCTCATTTTCTACCGTTATGGACCTCTTTCTGGTCATGGAAGGACCGTAAAGCGTAAAGGGTCAAAACTGGGTTTTTAAGACATACAAAACTTGAGATGTTTTGTATGTGGATGTGGATGTAATGTGTCGTGGGTAGCATGTGGATAGCATGTGGATACAAAACTTGCGTAAAGGGTCAAAACTTGAGAATTGAGATGTTCCCGATATGTGGATGTAATGTGTCGTGGGTAGCATGTGGATAGCAAATCCAGGACTCGGAGAGCATCACAGGCCCACCATGGGCTGGGTTTGGAGCTTCAACTAGCACGTGGGCCGGGTTGGAATAAACCCATTAAATGAATGGACCTGATCCATTATTTTTTTGGGCAATGGACCTAATCCATCTTGATTCTTGCGATGCTGAAGCTATTGCGTAGGGCTGTATTTGTTCGTAGTTCAAATATAAATGTCTTCACTAGGGCTGTTCATAAGAAGGCCCAATCCGATCAAATCGATCAACCCGGACCGACCCAACCTGAGTCGGTTGGGTTTTTATCAGTATGGGTTGATTTCGGGTTGTGCAAATTCCTAAATCGATCCGACTCAAACCGACTTAGTTTATAGTTCAAACATGAAGTTCCATAGCTCATTAGGCCACCTAGTTTTTGAATGGTTGCAAGAAACTTTGGATTAGTGAATAGTGATTAATGAACAACTTTTGTGATTAATTTTTCATTTAAATTTTATCAAAGGAGATGGCTGAAATGATGTTCAAATTATGACTGTTTTTAAAATTAGCAAGATTTTATCACAGAGATGAACTTAGAACCGAAACCGACCCAAACCGATTCAAACCGATCAGGTCAATTTTGTTTAACACTGGGTCGGGTTCAATTTCTATGTCAAGTAACCCAACCAGGTCGGATCGATTGGAAAAACCATAGTAAACTGACCCAACCCGACCCGTGAATAGGCCTAGTGTTTAGTATAGAATTACAAAATACAAAATTGATTGTTCATGAGAATGTAATTTTTTTTTTTAATTTTTATATCGATAAATTTTGTATGATTGTCAAATGATTTTTTGGTTATAATGAATACAAATACGGATTCCATAGAATCAACTTTTTTTGCATTGACCAATTTTGATGCTTTGTTCTTTATAATATTGTAGCTTATCCGGATAAGTGTACCATTCAGGTAACAGTTACCTGGATAAATTCATTTACTCGTATTCTTTTGATTCTCAAGTAGATAACAGAATAATTTTTTTATTCATAAAAAGTCAAAGTTAAAATGAATAAATTTGTTTCACTATGTTTTGAAAAAGTTATTTCACCACTTGGAAAATGTGTAAATTTTACTCGGATAAGTGAAGCTAATTTTACTATAAAACGTAATACTTGTTGGCTTATTGCAAAAAGAACACTGTTCCTTCTCTTATTTACCAGTAAATGAACGGGACCTGAGTGCAAAGACAGACTTTTGTTCTCGTTTTGATTACAAACATGATGAATAATTTGTAATAGCCCTCATTTCAATACACAAATGTATTTTTATCAAATACTTGCAAAATTGTCCCAGAATGCATATATGTATTAAACTAGCATTTACACTGAATTACAAAAAAAAAAAAACAAAACTTAAATATTGTGTTATCATTATATCTTATTGCATTATTCATCTTTGAGGTTATGGCCAGGATGTGGTTTTTTAATGCACAGTGCCACACTAAAAGCTGTCAATGAGTCGGGCTTACCCAACGGTACTGAATCAATCAAACCAATTATGTTGGTTTTGGATATATGATTCTGGGACGGGTTCTTTATCTGAACTGATTTTTGTGGATCTTGTTCTGAACTGATTCATACCAAGGTAGCCCATCCCCTTTGCCCTTTGGCAGCAGGACTTGATCTTGGTCAAGGTTTTTAAAACCAATCTGGACAATGAACCGATCAAGGGTCTGGTTCTCAGGTCAAACGGTTTGATCATTCAAACTAAACGAATGGCCCATTTTAATAAAAAAATTAAAATGTAAAAAAAAAAAAAGATCAAAACTATTGAATACTTCAACCACCCAAATCAGTGATTTGCTAACCAAATCAATGTTTTTTTGGCAAAAATCTGGTTTTGGAGAAAACCAGAACCAGTCACCTGACCGATTCCCGGTTTTTCTGTTCCGACCATCCAGTCTGGTCCGGTTTTGAAAACCATGGATTATATAGTTAATAATCGGTTTGGTTCTCGTCCTTCGTATTGTTCCAGTTAGTAATCGGAGCGGGACTGGTATAATTGGTTTAGTTCTGGTCTAATTGGGTCCTTCATACTGTCCCGAATCAGATTCAACCCATAGACATCTCTCTCTCTCTCTCCATTTTGGGGGGTGGACAGCACCAGTTGAAAATTAAACAGTTCAACCATATCATCCCAATGGGAAAAAAGGTGAAAGAAAATGAAAAAATAAATAAATAATTCCATACACTGTAGATGAATTGACCAAACATATTCAAGATGATGAATATGAACGGTGATGATGATACATTGGAGCCTCATCAGCTATTCAAAGATAAATACTTGAGCCATAGAAACTTGGATATTTTCATGCTCACGGCATTTAATTCCTGTGAGATTGCACTAATTACAAGACTCGCTGAGGTTGTCATTGCCAATTTCTGTGCGTTGTAGGAGTAACTGGTATTCATCAGTATGTATTCCGATGGCCGGCTGATGCCATGAGCACAGCTACAGCTACGATAAACATGAATAACATGCTCCCAAGCAACAAATATGTTTTTCTCGAAGACCTCCTGTACTCTCCAAACACCAGTATGCCCCAAAAGGTGCTCACAAGTGGAAGTGCCTGACAGTATCATATGCAATTTAAAGCTGTCAACATATGATGATATCATATTGTAAGTGTCTGCCTATATTAGATTGATAGATACAGATATTAAAATGCTTGATCTGGACAAAACATTTGGCTGATCACTTATTTCCATCAAATATGGGCAGGATGCATATAAAGACAGTAAGCCTAGTCTGTAAATGCAAAAAGAAACCAAGGGTAGCCTAGAATTTGGATGGTCCAGGTTTATGATTATGATTGTTTGGGTCCTGAATTTGCATCACATATGCTGCAACTATACAGGTAGGGACCTATAAACTTGTACATAATACATTTGGATACACAGGTGTACTAACTAATATGTACCAACCTGAACAGCATCAGCTGCAGCATATCCAGCAGCTTGACCCCCCATGAACTGCAAACCATTCCCAAATCCACACAATAACCCTGCCAAAAAGGCCCAGTATCTGCCATTCCAATCTTTCAGATAAGCTGTCAGTGATGACCGTGGTAGGTTGAGTACAGGGTGGTAGAGGAAGGTGATGTTTAGGATAATGGCAATGATGAAACAAGAGATTGAGAAGTAGAAAAATGCAGTGTAGACGACCAAATGAGGAACCCCTTCTTTCATTGTGTGCCATTGGTCATTTGTAGCCAGATTGAATGCTGGTGAGAACAGGGAGAAACAAACACCAGCAAATAAAGTTATGCCCAGTCCAATCAAAATACTCTTCCCAAAAACCTGCCAGTTAAAGGATCATTAGCAGAGTCAGGTAACTTTTCCGAAAAAAAAGAAAGGAATTTCTGCTTGGATGTTGGAAAAGAAGAAAACTAAACATGTGAAATAAAACAACAAGACTATGCAGTTACATACTAATTATCGGTAATAGCATCTATAGTAGCTTGTTATATACACAACCATATGTTATATGTGTTCATGCTTGTACATATGCATGCAATTTGGTGCTTAGGTGTATTACATGAGGAATCAAGTCCACCAGAACAAGCTACGTGCTGTTAGATATGTTTATCGTAAAGAATATATTGCACATCTAGACTTCATGTGGCTGATCTCAATCTAATAATTCTCTGCCATGTAGAAAATGAGAACCATTCCTTTTCTGGAAAAAAAGTTAATACTTTGTCCACTAATTCGCAAGGAGTGTACCACAGATGGAAGGCTGTACGTAGCAGCAGCATTGACATGAAGTCCAGAATATGGACAGTCCGGGTTCCCTCATTGTCCCTCTTCCATGTGGTCAAAATAATTGACGACTATCTAGTGAATGAGCCAAGATGGCATATCTATGTATATGTATATGTATGTGGAGAAAGACTGGTGCACACAAATTGTTAGGTTATGATGTTAGTCATGTTTGGTAACGTAGTGAAAATGTGTAACAACTAACCTTAATTGCCCTTTTGTTCTCAAGTTCTATGAGGAAGTCTGCAGTTCCAAATTCTGTCTTCTCCAGGTAATAATCCCCATCCTCCACGTCCTTTGTTTCATCTATCAATGTTTTTTGACAGAAACTATCAAGTATTACTAGTATATTCAATAGTGGGAAGTTCAAGAGAATCAATTGTACAAACATCCGATCTCCAAAGAGAAACTTACTTTTCTTTGGAAATGTTTCTTTAACCAATGGGGCTTCTACATTCCTGACAAAGGTTGAAATTTGGAGCATATCAATTTTATGCTGAAGATTGGATGATAGAATACAAGGGATCAATACAAACAGCATTTTAATGTAGAACCTACTAGTTAAAAAAAAAATAAAGTCATGTTTTAGAAGCTGGACAAAAATAGTTTACAGTTCAATACAACCAATAACTAGAAATTGGAAGACAAATACTAAAAGAAATAAGAGAAAACTTGTGACAAAGGCAAGCAGTGAAATTATGAACTTAGCTGATGTATGAAGTTAGTTCCACCCAACAATCAATAAAAAAGGTGATTCCACGCAATAGATGAATTAAAGGTTCCATGTTAAGGAGTATTAACTATTCAACCTAATGGTCTTATCCCTGGAAATATATTTCTAGAGGATAATGGTATACCCTTTCCCATTATTGTAACTATTTGAAAAATCAAGTTTTGCTTTATTATCTGCTGCGTTGGAGGAGTGCACAGCAGATCCAAGACAAACTGCAATGAGGAAGCATCCAACACCAGGGAAAAGAATCTCAGCTTTGTTAATTCGGTTGTCCAGAAAGTAATTCAATGTAGTTCCTGTTACATTCAATATGACATCAGATATTACTTTAATTTCAATACTTCATGAGTTTATGCATTATTTACATTACATTGTAGTATGTAAAATACAAAAGGAATTTGAACAATAGGCCAAGTTCTCAGGATCCATAAAATATATGGTTTGAGTAAAACATACCTATAACTACAGTAATGCTTGCAGTGATAACCTCTGTTACTGACAGACCAACGAAAGCCCAAGCATATTGAGTGGACAGGTTCCCAAGGCTAAGAACAATTCCACCTGCCATTGCAAACAACACACAGGGCCAATTGTCCTGCATCAAGTAATCAAGAGTAATAAAGACCATGCTTATCAGACGTACATTCAAAAAGAGGCAAGGAAAAAAAACAGTTGATTATATGCCAAGTAGAATTGGATTGGCCTAATGGAGCAATGAGTGGCTCAAAACAGTGGGATAGGCATGATTTTCATAAGATATTTGCATGCTAAATCAACAATGTCTATAATAATGCATGAGATTGGTGGATAAATTGAACCTCAACTGTCACTGCCATGCAACTAAAATTATAGATATGACGATTTCTTATTTGATCTCCCAATTTTATTTTAACAAATCTGGCATCCTACTCCATTGTCCGACTAACTCACTGCCTCAATTGTCCCACAATATTCGTCCTCAACAGCTAGGATTCTCTAGTGCTTAATTGTACAATTATCATAAAGTGAAGATTAAGTATGCCCAATTCGAATGGATATGAATTGATCTCTTGTCACTGCCCAGATAAGTAATAGGTAGGAATGACAGGATATGAATATGTGACATTTTGCACCCAAATTACCCAATAAGTTTGCATGATGAAGAACCAGAAAGAACATACACAAATAAACGAATATGTGCATAAATATGTGAATGAGAAACCGGTATTAAGTATTAACAATAAAAGAGCAAACATTAGAACAGCAAGATCTCAAGCTTAAATTCTCAGAACTTAATTTGCAAAGAAGCAGATAAAGCATTCTTTCACAATTCCATTCTGCGATTCAAATAACATAATTAATCTGAACTGAACCAAGACTGCAAAAAGCTAGCATGATAGGAAAAAACATAAAATAAGAAAGATGAGGAACTCGCTTGGGAAAGCTGAGTTATGAAATTTGGCATGCCAGGTTTACTATGTCCAATCTGCCCAAATGTTAAAGCAATGAGTACAGCAGCCAAGAGATTTGTGATGGAGTAATCAAGGTAAGTATGCTGAGGAAGCCGACCCCTTCTCTCCAGAAGAGTCAGAATAGCAGGCCAAGTACCCAAGAAGAAAAGGGCAAGCAACATGCAGGCTATGGCACCTCCTCTGCTCTCCACCAAATACATATTCAGTCCAGCAAAATTGAGACCCTCGGTTGAAAGAGAAATCAAGGAATCAAGACCAGAAAAATCCTGCAGAGATAAGTAACCATAAGACCTCATCTTTTAAACTAATTTTCAATGAAATTTTGAGAGATCATTGACCCCAAGAACGCAGAGGACGAACAAAAGGATATGAAAAGGAAAGAAAGAAAGCAACAAAGAAGGAAAGAGTTCAAGGTCTATCTGCCTTGGAGACTGGTATCATCAGAACCAATCGATCTCCTCCAAAGGAGCGGTGACTCAAATTCAATGGAACTACTGAAGTGGGAAAAAAATCTATAGAAGGATCCCAACGAAAGAACCTATGAATAGAAATTTGCCTTTCCAAAAATATAAAAGAAACAACAATTTGAATTCAGCATAAGAATAATTACAAGAACAATAACCAACAAGAGACAGAGAATTTAGAGCAAGATGAATCAAAACACCTAGTTAAATTAAAACGCCACCAACTAATCAATCAATTACCATGTGCATGCACAAGATTGGGAAGAAAGAAGAAAGACCACCCAAGAAAAGCAAATGAACGAACAAAATAATTATATTCCAGAAACGATCAGAGGCAACACTAAATGATCCTTACACGGAGCTCCTAAACTTTATGGGGAAGAAATACAAAAGCAAGCTTGCGACACTATTTTGGCATCATTTCGGGAAAAAACAAAGAGAAAAAGGAGACCCAATTTATATAATCAAACATCAACATCACCAGCTACCTTCAAAGGTCAATGAAGTAATCATAGTAGAACTTGCATACGGCTCTTGCAAGTTGGAAGTAAAAAGTGGTTGCAGAAATGAACCCAAAGTTACACAGAAGAGTTCCAAAATTGCAGGTGAAGTTGGGTGATTATTGGTTTGTTACTGAATATTTTGAGGTGGGTGGGCTTCGAATCTTCCTCCGGTTGGGTGGATCCAATAGAATATATTTTAAAATGACATGCTTACCTGGAAGCTTTGGAGCCATGTGAGAAGAGAGTCCGGATTTCCTGCACTCGCAATTGTGTATGTCAAGGTGCACTTCCATTCATTTGATAACACGTCATGGGAACGAGGGTCCTGATAATATCTTCTGTTAGTGTCTTATTTTTATATTTTAAAATAAAAAACCTAAAAAGTAAATCAATATAATTTGAATTGTCTGGCGATGGAGGTAAACAAAACATCTATCCGAAAAATAAGCAGAGAACTTAAGATTAAAAAAAAATTAAAACAGGAGTTCTATTGATGAATGGCATAAGAAAAAATTCTCTTATTCTTCTTCTTCTTTTCACTTTTATAGGGACGCCATCAACAAGATCCTCGTGTAAGGTTTTGCTGCCTCCCTATCAGTGTATTTGCCAACAACGTGAAATTTTTGCAATATCTCAAGCCATTGTTTAACAATATCAACTTAAGTTAGATCTCAAACAATTATTAAACACCATAAATATTGCTTGTAACCCTTAAAATAGTTGGCTCCTCTAACCCTTAAAATAGAAGAATATTGCTTGTAACTCGTCCTTGACTAAAGCTATAAGAAATTAGCTTCAAACAACATGAGACTTGTAACTTTAGCTAAAGGTTGAGGACAAAAACACAATTCTATTTGCATATGACTCCCACTTTTTTGATTGAAGATTTGAGAAAAAAATCAATTTTTATTTATAAAACTTCTGCTCTGAAGTTGCAATCTTTAATGGCCTCTGTCCCTGATTGAAGCGTGAAAAAGAAAGAGAGTTTTAAAATCGTTAATGGCATCCATTGAATTCTAGAGTTTAGTGGAGTTTCCCTATTTCCTTTGAGTCCAAATTCTTGAAGAGTCAATCTGAGTTTCCCTTCTATTTTACTGTTTTGTTTTTTCCTGAAAAAAAAAATACATCATACGAACATAAGGCTCAATTCGGAAAGAGTACAAATGCAAAAATATACAGTATAACTACATACAAAATAATACAAAATATAAGGTTTTACACTCTACATATTTGCATTTGTACTCTTTCCAAACTGAGCCTAATGGAAAAACTTGTCGTTTAGTTCTACCACACATGCAAACCTGTTGTTCATGTGAACTGTGTGATGTGTTAAATTATGATTGGAAGTGCATCTCAACACACACCATTCTGAGTGCAGGAGATCCGGTTTTGTGAGAAGAGGGATTCTGGAAAAACTTTGGCTGTTGGGGGTCAATAACCTTTTCTGTTGAGAGAATTTCTGGGTTGGACACGTTACCGTGAGAGTGGGCAAATTAGTAATTGCCCACTGAATTCACGGGATTCACTCTGTGTGATGATCCAATCACCAAGATATAGTTTTGGCTTTGTCTTGGTACAATCACTTTTTCACGGTGGATTCAAGGCCACCTCATGAAGCATTAAAATTTTGGGATTTTTTTTGACAAAAACAAAGATGCGTGGATTCATCACCCACCGTTAAAAAGATTGTATTTACGATTTAAAAGGACAAAAAAGGGATGGAACCCGTGGAAATTCAGAGGAAAATCGTGGATATTTTAAATTTGAGAATATGAATTTGGATGTGAGATCAGATCTGCACCTCACAGCACCTCCCACCCGTGTATTGGGAATATCTTCACGGTCGATATGGCCCTCCAGTGACATTGTGCCATGTGGCGATTCTGAACTGTTACTTAATACCTCGGCATCTCGTAGGCAAGGTTGGTCTTAGGATCAAGTTACCATCAAAGGACTAGGTTTCCCATTGCAAGACTAGGTCAGCCATCACAGGACTAAATTGGCCATATCAGGACCAGGTCACCCATATATAGGAATGACAATGGGGTGGGGATCATATATTCATATTCCCCGTCCCTGACCCCAACTTGAAATTAACCCCATACCTGTTCCCGATCCCCATCGGGGATAAAATAAATAAAAATTATAAATAATATTTAAAATATATTTTGATATATATATATATATATAATATAATAGTATATTAAATATAAATAATAGGCTATAATAGACTATCAAGGTTGGGGTGGGGCAGGAACCTTAGTCCTCATCCCCAACCCTGACCTCGACCGGGGATTCCTATTAATCCCCGCCCCCGTCCTTACCCTACCAAAACAATCCCCATCCTCGGCCCCATCGGGTCAAGGAAATTGGGTCCTCATCGGGGATGGGGAAAATTGCCATCCCTACCCATATCAGGGCTAGGTCACCCATCATAGGACCAGGTTAGCCATCACAGAAGCAGGTTGGGCATCGCAAGATTGGGCTAGAGACCTTGGCATGAGGGGAGACCTCTCTCCGCCGACCTACTTGAAGTGCAATTGGTGACCTACAGGATGTGGTGGCCGACCCCATCATGAGTGGGCTATCATCTCCAAATCCTCTAGGATCACGTCGCTCCATTAATGGAGTTGACTCCCACCTTGCCCGCTTTAGAGGCAATCGGATGAGCTCTATTGCTTTACACAAAAACTGCCTCCGGGCGAGGTGGGCTGGTAAGCCACGTCCCCCTTGGAGATCTCGGGCGTGCAACCTGAATCCCATAGCAACTTGCATCTATATAAAGGTATCCCAGTGATAGAATGTATGAGCGATTTAGCTCTCAAAGCACACTAGCTCTCTCGCTTTTTATCTCTCTCAAACTCTCTTCGCTAATTTAAGCATTAGAATGTCCACCCCAGGTACTCTAACTGTTTACTTGCAACTCGATCAGGTGACCTCAGCAGCCCGGCATCTGAGTTGTCTACCAACAGGGAGCACTAGATTGCGCAACATCAAGTATAGAAGATACTCCCAATGCACGGTGTGATGTGTATGTGAGGCACCAATGTGATCTCTTCAGATTTAGTGTCACAAAACAATTCTCACACCAACCTTACAGTCACATCCCAATGTGTGTTGGAAACATCTCCCCATGAATAATTAATAAAAATATAAGAGATGTTCCCAATGTGCGGCAAAAACATACAATGAGAAACACTCTATGAGGAGCAGATTCAGATTTTATCTTCATAACCTTTTTGCAAATGTGTATTTTTATTCTCAATGCACAACTGCAAGGGATATTTTAAAGGGAAAGTCTTATGCGGATCAAATCCTAATTTTGAGAATATTCTAAGAGAAATTGGGATCTAAATCGAATTTCATCCTCACACAATTGATCCAAGGCTCTCCCCAGTCCCCACAACACTTATAACCGTGCATCGGAAAATTCCGTATTAATGTTATTTTTTATCGACGGAAAGATGTACCCAATACAAGGTTCAAAGGTTGTGAGTCTAAGACTCCCAGCACCAAATTTGTGAAGGTCAAATCTGGGTTAGTTTAGATCTCTTGCCAATAATTACCTCTCGACACACTTCTAAAATGATCTGATACAATACATATGACCCATGGCCCATCCGAAGCAGGATCTGCTCTTCATAAATGGGCGCCTCACAGGCACATATGCACTGGAAACATTTCCCGTGAATAATAACTAATAATTATAGGATGTGCTGTGAGGTGCAACATGTAGCTATGGTTTATGGGAGATCATGTTGATGGATCGAAAGCAACATGTAGCTACGATTTATATAGAAAATCTTATTAATATTAAAATATTAATTGTTTGCATTGATATATTATCCGAATTGATATCTATTCCTCACACGAACCTCACAGCCATATCCCACCGTATATTGGAAACATCTCCACTCACAGTATAGATAAGCTAAAGACAAAATTCTACACAGTGGGCAGTCCAGATGAGCTGAAGACAAAATACATTGGACTGGGCAGTTCATATGTCAGTGTTTACTGTGGGCAGTTCATATGTCAGTTCATATACAGTGGTGTATTCATTAATGATGGATAGCTCGTGTATACACTCAATCCCTGGGCTGGGCTCATATGTGAATGTGCCAGTGTTTACTGTGGGCCCTATATGTACTGAACATTGGTGTATTCATTAATGATGGATAGCTCGTATACACAGGGCTGGGCAACCTATCATGAGTGAATATGCCTATGGATAGCCCAATCCGATGTGCATAGTTTTGTTTCCAACCAATATAGGCTCCTCCCATAACTAATAACAAACAAGTTTGGGAAATGTTATCAAAACTCAGATGAAAAGAGTATAAATATAAATGTGTAGAGTGTAAAGGCTTCTATTTTGTATATATTTATATTGTACATATTTGTATTTATATTCTTTTCAAACTAAGCTTAATGTACGACTAAAGCATGCTATGAGCTTGCATAACATATGAACTTTGTGGAGTCCGTGTAGACCAGTGAACATCATAGAGACACAGAACGTGAGACATGGACAACCAAAAATAGAGAGAGAGAGAGAGAGGAGGGGGAGGAGGAGAAATGGAGAATAAGAAAATGGAGGTAAGGCACGTTTGGTTCATGGGAATAGGGGTAATGGTCATTCCCTGCTTCTCCATTGGGAATGAAATCTCATTCCTGTTGATTTTAATTCCCATTCTTATTCTTGTTTGGGAATGGACCATTCTAATTCTGATTTCAAAAGATTTTGATTCTGATTCCAACTGCAAACCAAACAAACCCTAATTTATTTTATGTGCAATGGTGTTGTTCATTGAATCAGTGCTTTTGAAAAATTATTATACCTTGGCCTGTTTATGGCAAGAGAACACATCCAAGTTTATGTGGAGCCTATTTAATTATAATGTTTGGAGTTTTATTTTGGGTAAATCAGAAAGAACCCCTTCTACTATAAGGTGAGTGCCAAAGATCCTGTACAGCTGCATTATTTTTTTTTTTACAATAAATACACCCTGAACTTTTATGTTGCGATAAATACCCCATAATAGAGTGTTAAATTACTAAAATACCCCATTAAATTTATTCTATTTTCTCTTCATTGCCATTCTCTCTTTAAACATCACTGACCAAAAA